CGGTCCGGGGAGACTGCAGGCCCACGAGGCGGACCAGTCATGCCGAAGGCTCGGGATAGATTCAGATAGACTTTAGGCCCAGTTAGGCCGATGGCCAGTATGCATGTTGATTGATTGTTACTGATATAGCATTGTCAGTGCGGTATTGGTATTTTGGGGATAGCTCACTAAGTCCTCGGGCTTACAGTTTTCAGTTTATGGTTTCAGGTACTTCAGAAGATCATGGCAAGGCGAAGGCGTGACCGTACCGCTCCTCATCCTTATGTTATATTTTTGGGACACTCTGATGGATATTGATTTGAAAACATTTTTGTAAACGATACTATTTGACTTTTATTTATGATTTTAAAAGTTTAAATTTGGCGTAAAATTTATGGATGTTACAATATTGTTACCTTTAAAATAAAAAACAATGTTTGATGTTTTAAAAAATTATAATGATAGAAACTAAAACATTAAACAAATAAATTTTAAAAAATTAATTAACAATAACAACAACTATGAATAACATTAAACCATATATTATATTTAATTTTATTCATGTGTAACTCGCGGACAGAAGTCATTCAAACGATTGACTAACTACAATATTAAAATCTCATATTATATTTCTATTTATAAAATTATGACTTTAACTTTTTAACATATTATAGTTAACTTAGTAGTTTAAATATGTTGTCGTATGTGAGCAATTATCATTTTAAAGTCACAACATTTGTATAGTTTATGAGTCGATGCAAAATAGTTTAATTGTTAATTTTAATATAATATTAAATAATTAACTTACATCAAAATTTCAGTTAAACTTGAAAAAAATCGAGAGACTGTTTTATAAATAGCTAAATATTATAAATTATAGTGTTAAACCTAAAATGTAATCCTAAATTAACAAAAAAAAACTTGAAAAAAGGAAGCATTTTGCGTTTCACCACATTCATTTGAAACTCTCTTGACTTTTCAATTTTCTTTATAATAATGATTATAAGTTGGTTAATAATGTTAAATAAATATCAAACCTAAAGTGTAATCATATATAAACAAATTTTCAATATTAAAAAATATCTTTACTTCTACATATAAAGTTATGTTTTTTAACTTTTAACATATTATACTTAATTTAATAATTTTAATATATTATTGGGTGTAAACCATTATCATTTTAAAGGTATAATTTTTGAACAATTTGTGTAAAATACATAAATTATTAATTTAAAAATAATATTATAGGGTCAACTTAAATATAAATTTTAATTTAACTTAAACAACCCAAAAAATATTTTGTAAATAGTTAAAAGTGATAAATCGTAGTGTCTTTCTAATAATGATTATAACTTGGTTAATAAGGTTAAATAAATATCAAACCTAAAGTGCAATCATAAATAAACTAAATTTCAATATTAAAATAATATATTTACTTCTATTTATAAAGTTATGACTTTAACTTTTAACATATTATACTTAATTTATTAAATTTCATATGTTGTTGTATGTAAATCATTATCAGTTTAAAGCTACAACTTTTGAACAATTTGGACAAAATACTTAGATTGTTAATTTAAAAAACCCAATTTATTTTTTTTGAATATTTAAAAGTGATAACTTGTAGTGCTAAATGCAAAAACTAAACTGTAATCTCAATTTAACTAAAATATTTCCTAAAGATACTCTTATAATCGTTAAAAGTTTTCAAATAAGTAGCTTAAATAACTTATAATAACAATAGTTAAAAATAACTCTATATATAAATGATTATATTGTTACCTTTAAAATAAAAAAACAATGTTTGATATTTTAAATAATTATAATGATAGAAATTAAAACGTTAAACAAATAAATTTTAAAAAATTAATTAACAATAATAACATCTATAAATAACTTTAAACCATATATTATATTTAATTTTATTCATGAATAACTCGCAGGTAGAAGTCATTCAAACGATTGAGATTATGCAGTTATAATAGATGTATATATTATCATATAATTCCAAATAATCAATATATTATATCAATTTAGCATACAAATTATTATATCAAATTTAACAACAACATTATTGTTATATTTAAAAAAAACATATATTTGGAAATATTTCAACTATATAGGTTTCTGCGTAACGCGCGGGCATACGCCTAGTCTATACATAAACCTCAACTCTACACACTATTTCTTTACTTTTGTGTGCCATTTTAGCGCGACGTTACTTTCCTTCGTCCTCCCTTGACTTCCCCTTTCATATGGGAAATTATCACCTTTAGGGGTGTTGAAAATAACCGAAATCAAATAAACTATCTGAACCGAATAAAGTTATGTTTAATCGATTTAACCGATTAAACCAAACATTATTTGTGTCGTTTTTCCGATTTTAGTTTTCACTATTCATTTTAACTGGAATAACAGAGGTTTTACGAATTATATATATATATATATATATATATATATATATATATATATATATATATTTGATAATTGTATTTGATAAATGTTTTTGTTTACACTATTTATCTTTTTACGTTTTTTCGACTTTTCCTAATACTAAATGTTTGGTTTTCTTGCATAGCAAAAAACATTTTAATCGGTGGTTTCAAAATTTAATTACATATAATTTATACATATTTTCTTTCTCATTTATATCTACGAATGAAAGTTTACCAAACAACAAGAAAATTAACATATGTTATTCGAACCGTGAATCAAACCAAATTAAATGGAATCCATTAGACGGAAAGACCCTTAACTGGTTCGATTTTGGTTGATATTTGAAAGTCAAAAAACTGATTTAATGAAGTAAAACGGAAAACAAGCAAAACCAAAAGCACACAAGACACAATATTGTACTTGGTTGAGTCAATGTGACCTACGTCCAAGGGCAGGAGGGGAGTATTCTTTATTTATAAGCTCTTAATAACAGAGGTTACAAGTATAATTCACCAAAGATTTGTCTATCACTCTAGAATTCAAGACGCTTCAAATGACTAGCAAACATCCCTATTTGCATTGAAGAGATCATACCTAAAACCATAATGAGCCAAACTAATTGGCCCATAGACTCATTAAAGGTGTCAACCAATCACAATCTGTCATGCAACAACTTCTGGAACATTCATCGATGACAAACAACACATGAGCATCAACAACGCACATGATGTAGCCTCATGAGACACAATGGAACATCATGATGCACAGGCGACACATCATGGACACTAGTGACGCATCATCCATCATAGTGGGGCATCATGGTAAATTTCCTTGAGCATCTTCAACTCTTGGGCATCCTTGAACAATCTTGAGCATCAAAAAGGACTTCATAGCATACGTGGCTCATCAAGGGATACCATAGCTCATCAGGGAACCAAATGACGCACATTGCACCAAGATGACACATATAGCATGATGATGGCGCATCTTGTGCAAGGGTTGGCGTATCTCCTTCAAGAATGACACATCTCCCTCACAAATGGCACATGAGGCTTCTAAGTGGTGTATCCTCATTCCAAAGTAGCATATCTTATTCTCAAGTGGTGCATATGGATTGCCAATGGCGCATCAGCCTTTTAGATGGCGCACCATGCTTCAAGAGTGGCGTATATATGCTCAGAGTGGCGCGCCTTGAGCATGGATGGCACATCCATGCACCAAGGTGCTCCATTTCACTCTCAGGTGCTCAATACCCCTTTTAGAAGATATGTTCCTTTGTGCTCCATTTCACTTTCAGATGATTCGTTCCTTTGTTACATGCTTTATGAGCCCCAAGTGCTCCATTAAGTTCCAAGTGCTCCACTTGAACTCAAATGCTATATCCGAATGTTCCAAATGCTTAAATCACATTTAACAACTGATTAAACTGAATAGAACAAAACATATAACATATATAACCTACCGAATAATACCCCTAGTCACATCTCATCTCCCATCATTTGTTTATAAAAATAAATACAATATTAATTTACTAAATACAAATAAAATACACAACAAATATCGTTAATTTAAAACATCTACCATAAAAAATTATCCACTATACTGAATAATATTTAAAGTAGTTTGTAAATAAAATATAATGACAAAAATTCAATGCCTAAGATAATTTTGATGCATCAAACACTTTTAAAATATAGAGTTTGGTTCTTACGAGAACGGACTTAGTTCTCGAGAATCCAAGAACTCTTTATGGACCATTAGGCTTTGGGGTGTACCTAAACGCCTCACACAATCAGTTTCAACCGTCTCAACGCCATTGCAAAATCATCCCACACCACGTCCCAGGTGGGGTAATGTTCACCTCCAAGTGAAGAACAACTCAAGAGAGGTACGTAAACTTCATCGATTAGGTCTTTATTTAATTATATATTTATATTTATTTATGAAAATCATAGCCAGTTGCATATAATAGTTGATTCATAGAATATGCTCATTATAAATCATTGGCACATATATCATTTCTTGGAACCATTTACAAAATTAAATGGATGCAATCTATTTCACATATAATGATATCATGGGGTATCCGTGGGGCATCCATGAACACCAATCTCTAGCGCTTTTCCATCGTCAGCGATCCTAAACCCCTTAAAAAACCCTTCACTGAATCCTTCAAGAACGCAACCCAAATTCATTTTTTCATGTAAATTTTGTATTTTTTTCCACCACCAAACGCACACACAGCTATGAATTCAACACTTCTCAGAACATCACCATTCATCCATCGTCGCCCTTTACACTCTTCACGAGTCCCGGAGCCTTTTGCCCCCTTTCGATACCATCTCAATACAAAACCATTATGGAAACACAAGCTTCAGATTTCACGAACCTCCAGTTTCTTCGACACCAAAGTATACCCAAAGAATCCCATAACCAGAGAAATTGTACCCGAAGAATCTACCAAAGATTCGTCAAGAAAAGAGGGTTTTGAGAAGTTTGGGGGTTTATTGAGATGCGGATTTCTTCTCGGTCTGTTGGTTTTGGGGGTAATTCGATGTCAAAGAGCTCTCGCATTGGATACTGGTAGCGATTTGGGGGTTTTGGTACAGACGGGCGTTGTTCATACGCAAGGCTTCTGGAATGGGCCCAAAATTTCACAGATTTTCCTAGTTTTCAGAGAACAAGGTTTGATTTTAGCTGCACTTTTGGGCTTATCTGCCTTCTTTTCCATGGCCGAGACTTCGATCACCACTCTTTCACCTTGGAAGGTATCTATCCCGTGTTTGATTACCTACATCGATATAGTGGTCCCTCAATATGGTACATTGTTTACAGGTGAGAGAGCTAGCTGAAAAAGAAGATGAAAATGGCGTCTTCAAGCTCCTTCGTACTGATATCACACGATTCCTCACCACCATTCTCATTGGCACAACGTAAACCTTACAATTTCTTTTCGTTTCCACTTAAATATTGTTATTAACAATTATAATCTTGTTTCCAGTGTAGTCAACATAGGAGCTACTGCACTTTTCACTGAAGCAGCAACAACAGTGTTTGGTGAAGCTGGTGTTAGTGCAGCAACTGGTGTCATGACTGTATGTATCCAAAACCTAATTTTTAAATCAATACAATAAAATTTCATCTTAAAAACCTAAATGATTTGGTTGTTAATTTAATTTCAGGTTGTTGTATTACTTCTCACTGAAATAACTCCCAAAAGTATAGCTGTTCATAATGCTACTGCTGTTGCTAGGGCTGTGGTAAGTAAAATTATTTGTATTTTGACTATTTTCTAATAAAAAAAAATTGCATTTTAATATTATTTCAAATTAATTAATGTCTAAAATAATACATAGGTTCGTCCAGTTGCATGGCTCTCAATTGTTTTATATCCAGTTGGAAGAGTTGTAACTTTTCTTTCAATGGGAATGCTTAAAATTCTTGGTTTAAAAGGGAAAAGGTTAGCCATTTGACATTTCTTTCAAAATGTAAATACTAAATACTTTAAATTTCATTTATCTTTTTTAATAATTTATGATTAAATTTTGCTTTAGTGAGCCATCTGTGACAGAAGATGAACTGAAGTTGATGTTGAGGGTTGCTGAGTTGAGTGGGGCCATTGAGGAAGAAGAACAAGTATCCATATTATCATATTATCATGATTATAAATTTATAATCTATGTCAAGTTTTCATTTTTTTTATAGGAGAATAATATTTAAATTCAAATTTTTATTTAATTCAGGATATGATTGAGAATGTGTTGGAGATAAAAGATACTCATGTGAAAGAGGTTATGACTCCTCTTATAGATGTAGTTGCAGTTGATTCTGGAGCAACATTAGTTGATTTTCATCACTTATGGGTGACTCATCAATACTCTAGGTAAAATTTTAAAATTGAAACAATTGGTTTAAAAAAAGCAAATTTTTTATTTTAAAAAACTGAATGATAATTGTTGAATAATTGAACTCATAGGGTGCCAGTATTTGAGCAACGAATTGATAACATTGTGGGTGTGGCTTATGCAATGGATTTGTTGGATCTTGTTCAGAAAGTAAGTTGATTTTGAATTATTTTATTTTATGTTGTTTTTATTTATTAAGATTATATAATTTATCATGAAATATGTGAAGGGAGATATGCTAGAAACTGCTATGGTGGGAGAGATTGCTCATAAGCCTGCTTATTTTGTCCCTGGTAAGACTCTATATTTGGTAGTCATGTTATGATATATTCATAGATTTGTAAAATTATAAAACTTGGAGAAAAAAGAAATTGGTTAATTAGGTTGAAATTTACCCAAATTGTGTTTTTGATGCATAAAAACTCCTAATTTAGTTGGGGAATTAGATTACTAGTATTATTATAATTATTTAGTTTCTTTAAGGGTTAATCACAAAAATGACTAAAATAGGAGATGCATACTAACAAAACAAAATCACCATCTTTTTCACACATATAACACAAAAAAATAACCTCCCATTTCACAAAATGAATATATTAATTTGCAAAGTTGCTTTATTAATGATCCCCAGTATATAAACTTTAAAAAATGAAAAAAATATGTTTTTTTTTTGCGAAATGACATCATCATTTTCCAAAAAAAAAAGAACTTTGTAAATTTTTAGAAGTTTTTCAACGTTGGGGATAAAACAATTTTGCAATTCGCATAATTCATTTTGTGAAACATGTCATTTTGTTATTTGTTAATAGGGTTAATCTCAAAAAAGACCTTATATTTTGTGTTTTTTCCGGATTAAACCTTAAATTTATCTTTTGCCTGAAAAAGACCTTGTATTTTTTCATTTCTTCCGATTTGGCCCTTTTAGTCATTTTTTGCCAAAAAAAATTGTAAAATGCGAGGGTTTTTTCGATAAAAACTAAAAAAAGTTGAGGGTTTATTTGGAAGCATTTAGAAGGTTGAGGGTTTTTTTCGGAAAATAAAAATACAAAGTTGAGGACTTTTTCGGAAAAAATGAAAAAATACAAGGTCTTTTTCAGGCAAAAAATAAATTTAAGGTTTAATCCGGAAAAAAACATAAAATATAAAGTCTTTTTTGAGACTAACCCTTGTTAATATGCACCTTCTATTTTGGTCATTTTTGTGGTTGACCTTTTTGTAATCATATTTAGAAAAAAAGTTAATTTATGAAAGATTTGGACAAAAAGTTTTTCGGGTCAATCCAATCTTGACCCAACCCATACAAAATTACCTGTTTGACCCGTTCCCCAACCCGCCCATTTTGGATAATTTTTAAAATGAGTGCAAATTTATTACAATCAAGCATATGATATATATAGGGGCAATTTTTATAAACCTTAAAGAGTAGATACTAATTTTTATAAACCTTAAACATGAATCATAATCATAAGTCATAACCTTTTTGCAGATTCAATGTTGGTTTGGAATCTTCTTAGGGAGTTTCGCATCCGGAAGGTCCACATGGCAGTTGTTCTTAATGAATATGGAGGAACAGTTGGAGTATGTTCATGTTCTTGATGTTTTATTTTTATATTTATTAGTTAACATTTTCTTAAATATTTAAATCTAAAACTAATTTTTTTCCCTTTTGTTTCTTGATGAGCAGATTGTAACCCTCGAGGATGTTGTTGAAGAAATTGTTGGTGAAATCTTCGATGAGAATGACTCAAAGGTAGGTGGAATTTAAATTTATAAACTTTATAAATTTAGTAAACATTTGTTATAAAATGTTTTTGGATTACACTTTACAGGAGGAAATTGATAGAAAAACTGGGAATATTGTGAAGAGAGGGGATGGAGTCTTTGATGTTGATGCAAATACATCAATTGATCAACTTTGTGAAGATTTAGATATTATTTTGCCAGAGGTATGTAGTTTTTTTTTTTTTTACTATGTTTTTGTCAATCTTGATTATATATTTTCCAATAAAAGATGGAATTTTTACATGCAGGATCATCAATATGAGACAGTTTCAGGGTTTATATGTGAAGCATTTGGATATATACCAAGAACAGGTGAAAGTGTTAAAGTAATTCTTAAAAAAGCAAATGAAGAAGATGATGATGAGAGTAAACAAGAACATAAAAATCAAGATCAGAAAGAAAAATCCCAAACATTCAAACTTGAGGTAATTTTAATCTCTAAGAGACTGTTTCATAGTTGCTGATTGAGTTATATCTGACTCAGACTGAGTCAGATCCAACCGAGTTAGAGCCTTCTAGTTGTATAAAAACAAAACCCTAAAACTTGTATAAAAACAATATGATTTGATTATATTCTATTATTATTATTTTTTTTTGCAGATATTGGCAGGAAATTGTAGAAAGGTAAATACAGTAAGATTTGAAAGAATAAACAATCATTCAGCAAAAGAAATCAAAGAAGCAGCTCGAATCATTCCTAGATTTTGGAAAAAAAAATGGAAAAATTACGAAAGCTCAGGAAGTGGTGATGATGAAAGATTTTATCAAGAAACACCCCAAACCACCATTAACAACCAATGATCATCATCATCAAGGTATCATCATCAACTTTCACTTATTATATCTTATTCCCCTTATAAGTTGCACTAAAAAATAACTTAAAAGAAGCAAAAATATAACCACAAAAAAAAAAACAAAAAACTAGAGATGAAGAGATGTGTCTACTTCATGTTTTGATGATAAAATTAAAAACTCAATAAAGGGTTGTTTTTTTGCAGGTTTTTGAGGTTCTGTTTGCTTGGTGTATATATTGAGTCCAAGAGAGAGAGAATCTTGAAAACAGAGTCTAGGGTGCACCGATGACCTAACCGGTGGTGGCTCATAACGGTTAGTTTGACTTTGACTTTGACCTTGACCTTCAGGAAACAACTTTAAAACCTCCATCTCTTCCCTCTTCTCTCTCATTCTCTCAAGCTGCCGGAATCTTTCTTGCAGGAGAGCTATAGAAGAAGCACCACCACCACCGCCTGCCGCCATCAACTTGCCGCCTTGCCTTCCCATGGAATGAAGAGCTTTTATTTTGTGGGATATTTGTTAATTTTTTTGTGTTGAACCTATTTGATGGTTTCTTTATATATATATATAATGTAGGGGTGTGTTTTTTGGTTTATAATAATATTTGTTTTGGAGAGTGAGCCTCCCTTTGTGGATTCTTGATGACGTCATTGGGGTATAGAATCGGCTAATGGAGCACAAGATCCAAGGGGAAAAAGAAGAGTGAAGGCAAAAGGACTTTTTGAAGGAAAGAAAGGGTGAGGGAGTGAGGACAAGAGGACAAAGAGGAAAAAAGTGGTAGTGTTTGGAATGTTGTGTTTGTGAGAATATAAGGTTAGGTTTGATGCTGTGGTCAGGGTTTTTGTAATTTTTTTTTTGGAGTGCTTTAAGCTTTGTAGAAGATGACAACGTTTTTGGTTTCTTGTTTATGGAGTTTATGTACATGTTTCTATTCCAAAATATTACTTCTGATTTACTATATAGTATGATGGGAATTTGCTAGAAAATCGTTCGTGTTATGATGGGAATTTGATAGATGTTTTTTTGGTTCTTGATTTTGACTTGTGACTGTTGGAATTCTAAGAGTAACATCTTTCATTTAATTTAGGGTAAAGATTGTGATTGCATATAAAACAAATGGTGGAATTATTGTCCTTATGGACTAGAGTGTGTTTGTTTGTACCTTAGCCACGAAGAATGGTCACATTCAAGGAATGATGTATGCATCAATAAGTCTATACGAACATGTTTATTAATTTATTTTGTACATACATATTTGTCTTCTATGATGTATGCATCAATAAGTCTATATGGACATGTTTATTTATTTATATTGTACATACATCTTTGTCGTCTACCGTTATTTATAGTGTTTAAAAGTCTTTAACATATTTGAAAAAATATGTACATACGTGATTTATGTTATGTACATGCAAACATTAGGAACTAGGAAACTTGTAATCTTTGGATGAAATCACTCAAAATTTGAGATTATTGGTGATGTTTTGGTAATTATTTTGACCGACTTTTTATTGTGGTTTTCTTTAGAAACAATATCAATGTTTTATGTACTTTTATTTACTTGAAATGTGTTCAACAAACTCGTTGATTCCATTTCCCATTATTTAATGTCCAATCTCTTATATATCTCTTCGTATGCCATGTCCTTTGTTTTCCTTACTCACGGTTGGTGTTCTTGTGCCATTCTTTAACCGATCTTATGACGGTTATTGGGCCATATAGTTAACTGGTCCTCTTCCCACCACTAGTGTTAAATATGAGAATCTTTAACACTTAACAAAGTTAAAAAAAAAAAAATATGCCATATACAATCACTTTAACAAGTTGTTAATTTTCTCACAAAGCCAACCAACAAATCTTGACCGTATAAATTTTTTTAGATGTTATTGTGGATCACCACTTTGGCCCAAAATTGGTCCAAGACTTGTTTAGAGATAGCCGAACTTAAAGCCCAAAAGGTGGCTTGTATTAAATTGTGACAAAACTTAGGAGTCGTTGATGCATAATTCTGATAATTCATCAAATAATGTTTATATTATATGATTATCAGTTCATTTTGGGAAAGATCGTAGCTAACCAAGATTAACTATATAGTTCATAGAAAACGTTTCATTACAAAAACCATATTTTTCATGAAGTAAGTTATCAACGGTTATTATGATGAGAAAATATAATATCTTATATTACAAATTTATCAGTTATTATACAAGTATCTATATTTTTTTTTTCGAATTTTACAATTTAGGTTAACTTGTCAAAAATATATGGAAATACTACAACGTTTGGAACACGAAATAATAGGTCAAGCTAACTCCGAACGAGGCCACTACTATTCACACCCACCAAGGTTTCCTTAAACTTCACTTGTTTCAAAATTAATCCATAACTTTAACCATAAAAAAGTTTAAAAGTTAATGTTACTTTTCAGTAATCAATTATCATTCCTTTTAACTTTTCTTTTTCCTCCTAAAGTCATAAACTTTAATTTTAAGTTCCAATATTATAAAAATATATATCTAAAACCAAGTTGTTGTTATTAAATAACATGCCATATACTTTATGCATAAATGTGGTAGTGTCCATTTTGTACACAAATGCTAGAATGGATATAATATAATGTTTTTATTTATTGATATTATCATGCAACCATGTCTTTAAAGGAATTTAATTAGATAGATTTCCACTAATTAAATGCTTTTATATAT